GACTCAGGCAGTGCCGCGCCGCACGGCCTGCGCCGGTTTCCAAGGTGAAGGAGGAGGAGCCTCTGAGAGAAAGTTTCCACCGAAACTTGAGCTGGGCGCAGTGGAGCACTCGCGCCCTTGGGGGCTAGCGTTTGGCCGGGGCTACACACCCTTTACTCGCGCACGCACACCGCCGTATACAGCACAGTTGTTCACCGTCCCGCCAAAGGCTTGTCTCTCCGGCTCTGCCGAGTGGAAGGAGTCGGACAACGCCGCACGTCACGGGCGTTTCCGATTCCTCGCTTCCCAAAGGTTTGACGGCGGCCACCGGCGCCCCGGCCCAGCTCTGCTTTTCTTTGCTGACTCCTTCCTTGAGGTGTGAATTCTAAAATGCTGATACCGTCCCAAGAGAGCTGAGTGAAGTGAGGCAAACGTTCGCCGGTTGTTCTCCTGACAGACCCCCTGCAGTGGACAGGGGAAATGTGGCCTTGGCCGTCGTTAATGAAGTGCCAGGATGGAGGGAGGGGGCCTGCTGATTTGTTCTGTTTTGCTTTTTAAGGGTAACTATAGCGTTACTGGAGTCGTTTGTGGATTTGGGGAGTATGTGGTGCGTGTGTGTGTCACACGTTCACTGGCAACTCCCGCCAACCCCTTCCCAAGAAGTGAAGGCTCTAATGTGGGTAGTTCTACAACAAAGGTGAAACTTCCCCAAATCACGATTCCCCGCAAGATGAGAGAGCAGGTGCAGCATCCATTTCTCCACTACCACGCTTGAGATGGTGGCTTTGGGCACTGCCGGATGCCCCGACATCCTTCCCAGAGCCCAGTTTTCCCACCGGGCCTGGCCCTGCGCGGCCGCCTGCCTTTGCATCAGAGACCACAGCTGTGCCATTGCCAAGCTGGGCAGCGCCGCCTCGCTTCCCCATTTCTCCGTCTCCCACGCCTCTTGCATGCCTGGGTGGCGAAGTGAAGGTTCTGCTTTCAGGACTTTAAATCCTGGAGGAGGAATGAGAAACTTGGTTAATGGCTCTCTTGGCATGTTCATAGCCCTGTGGTTGAAGTGGCTGAAACCTGCGGTGAGCCTCAGTCCAAGCAGCTGGGGCCACACCAGTTTGCAAAGGCGGATGTGGCAGTTTTCCACCGCAGCAGCAGCCTACTGGCGCCTCATCAGATTCTACGTTGGAGGAAGTATCTTCTTCCCTTCATTCTCAGTGAATGGCATCCAGAGATAACCAGAATCAGGTGTATCTGGTTTCAAGTTCTGTCTTGCAACCGTGATAATTGGAGGATGCAAACTTTACACTTTCTTCTCTAGCTGTCTACCACCACTACTGCGCTTGTGGATGACAGCAGGAACGCCAGGTACTTGCCACAAGTATCTCTCCAGATTCACCAGCCTTTCACCTGTGACAAGCGCCGTCAAGAAGTGGCTCCTAAGTAAAAGCTGGGAAAGAACAAGGAAGATAGAGCTCAGAGTTGAAAGCTGTGAGGTTCTGCACAACAGGTCCCCTTGGCCTGCTGTAACAGTTGGAATGTGGGGGAAGCATTCATTTACTCAACAAATATATACTGAGTGCCTTTTGCATGCTAGGCACGCATTTAGGGGTTAAGGACACTGCAGAGAGCACAAACAACAACTCCAGCCCTCGTGGAGCTTACCTCTTCCAGGTGGGAAAGACAGATGGTAAATGTATAAGGACAATATATGGACTGCTATATTACTAGAAATGTTATGGAGAGGCCAGGAGTGTTGTCTCATGCCTGTAATCCCAGCAGCTTGGGAGGCCAAAGGAGGAGGATCTATTGAGGCCAGAAGTTGGAGACCCAGCCTGGGCAACATAGCAAGACCCCCTATCTACAAAAAGTTTAAAAATTAGCCAGGCGTGGTGGCATGCACTTGTAGTCCTAGCTATCCAGGAGGCTGAGGTGGGAGGATTGCTTGAGTCCACTGCACTCTGACCTGGGCGACAGAGTGACCCTGTCTTGAAAGAAAGAAAGAAAGAAATGCTGTGGATAAAAATTAAGCAGAGAGGGTACATAAAAAGTATGAGGGGTGCTATGTTCAGAGGTGGGTGGTGATCAAGGAAAGCTTCTGGAGGAGGTAACATTTGAGGAGACTTGAGGGAAGATAGGGATATCTGAGCAAACAACTTCCCAGGCAGAAAGCATAGCAAATGCAAAGGCCCTGAGGCAGGCCAGAAGGTGCCATGAAAGAATGGAGAAGATGAAGTCAGAGAAGTGAAAGGTGGGGGTGATGCAGATCAGGTAAGGCTTTTACTCTGAGTGAGTTGGTTGGAGCCATTGGAGGATTTTGTGTAGAAAAGTGACATTTTCTGACATTGTGATTGGATCACTTTGACTGCTGGGTTAAGAATAAACAGTAGGATGTAAGGGTAGAAGCACAGAGACTGGTTAAGAGGCTACTAAAGTAATCTAGGGTCAGCAGGGTGCGGTCGCTCACACGTGTAATTCCAGCACTTTGGGAGGCCGAGATGGGCAGATCATGAGGTGAGGAGATCAAGATCATCCTGGCTAACATGGTGAAACCCCGTCTCTACTAAAAATACAAAAAATTAGCTGGGTGTGGTGGCACGCGCCTGTAGTTCCAGCTACTCAGGAGGCTAAGGCAGGAGAATGGCTTGAACTCGGGAGACGGAGGTTACAGTGAGTGGAGGCTGCAGTGAGCCAAGATCGCACCACTGCACTCCAGGGCAACAGAGCAAGACTCCATCTCAAAAAAAGATAATAATAATCAAGGGGCAAGAAGATAGAGATGTGGACCAGAGAAATAGTAGTGGAGATGATAAGCTGATGGTTTCCTCAAATTGAATGTGGGGTATGAAGGAAAGGAGATAAGGAGGACTCTGAGGCTTTTGACCTGGTCAGTGTAAGGATGGAACTGCTATAACAAAGTTGGAGAAGACTTCAAAAGGAGCAGGTTAAAGTAAAATCAAGGCAGGAAAGGAAAGGCACATAATGTGAATGATCTTCAATTTCTTCAACTTATAAAATGAAGAAAATAATACCTACTTTGTTAAGGTTGTTATAGGATGACATAAATTAGCATAGCGAAGTGTCTAACACAATGCCTGATACATGATAGGCACTTAAGAATGTTAGTTCCCTCTCTACAAATATGAATTTCATTCATATCCATTATGTCCTCTGGGAGTGAAACAGACTCATTCTTTTGAGGAAATAAGTCTTACTAAAGGTAAAGGGGCTGTCTCCTTCTCCCACTTTTGCCATGTGACACTGCCTGCTCTCTCTTTGTCTTCTACCGTGAAGACGGGCATGGTAGCTCACGTGGAAGCTTCCCGAGACCCTCACCCAGAAGCGGATGCTGGAGCCATGCTTGTACAGCTTGCAGAACTGTAAGCCAATTAAAACTCTTTTCTTTATAAATTAAAATAAATAAAAACAAAGGATAACCAAACGTGCTGGTACGGGCCTATAGTCCCAACTGCTTAAGAGGCCAAGGCAGAAGGATCAGTTGAGCCCATGAGGTCGAAGTTGCATTGAGCTTTGAGTGCCACTGCACACCAACCTGGGCAACAGAGTGAGACCCTGTCTCTTCTAAAAAGAAAAAAAGTTGAAAAATATCTATTACGTGGAAATATATTTATAATATATTATTGTATAAAGTAAGCCTAGTATAAAAGTGTGTAAAGTAAGATTCTCTTCACAAACATTAATAATGATTATATCAGCCAGGCATGGTAGCTCACACCTGTAATCCCAGTACTTTGGGAGGCCGAGGCGGGTGGATCACCTGAGATCAGGAGTTCGAGACCAGCCTGACCAACATGGTGAAACCCCATCTCTACTAAAAGTACAACAATTAGGCATCGTGGCGGGCACCTGTAATCCCAGCTACTTGGGAGTCTGAAGCAAGAGAATCACTTGAACCCGGGAGGCGGAGGTCGCAGTGAGCCAAGATCGCACCATTGTACTCCAGCCTGGGCAATAACAGCGAAACTCCATCTCAAAAAAAATCATAATAATAATAATGATGATTATCTCAATACTAGGATGACAGTTTATTTTTATTCTCTGTGCCTTTCTCTACTTCCAAGTTTTCTACCATAGGAAGGTATCACTTTCTCTTAGGAGTGGAATTGTTGGATGATAGGCTGTATATACAATGAGATTTAGTTGATACTGCCAAACGGTTTTCCAAAGTGGTTATACCAATTTATGCTCCCACTGACAACATGTAAGAATTCCGATTTGGAGCAATGCGTTTTTTAACAGCGTCATCCAGTTAAACAGCAATTGATTTGAACCTACTGCTTTAGAAGTTACAATAATTAATTAAGCAAAAGTTAAAAATAAGCATATTGGTTGTAAATGCATATATTAGCAACATGATAACCTTTTCTAAATCGTGGGTTTTTTTAAATTTATTTCATTTTATTCTTTCTCTTTTGTTTTGTTTTATTTGAGACGAAGTTTCACTCTTTCGCTCAGGCTAGAGTGCAGTGGTGCGATCTCAGCTCACCACAACTTCCACCTTCCAGTTTCAAGCGATTCTCCTGCCTCAGCCTCCTGAGTAGCTGGGATTGCAGGCACCCGCCATCATGCCCAGCTAATTATTGTATTTTTAGTAGAGATGGGGTTTCACCATGTTGACCAGGATGGTCTTAAACTGCTGACCATCTGCCTTAAACTGTGATCCGCCTGCCTCAGCCTCCCAAAGTGCTGGGATTACAGGCATGAGCCACCATACCTGGCCCCACTTTATTCATTTTTTATACTCTTCAGTTCTGTTATTATAGTACTTTAAAGCAATGAAATTATATTTCTTTATTGTAGAAACCAGAAAAGACTCCTCCCTCTTTTCCTTACCACCTTTATTTCCACTTTAAAATGTAATTATATTTGAAATTACATATTTCTCAAATTGTTAAACATGTTAAATACTAGATATTCAGGATTACATGAACAAAGGAGAGAAGTATTTCATCATTCACACACACACGCATACATACACAAATTCTTATTTCACAGAGTTCATAGGACTATAGATCTTAACACTCCTATGAGAAAGTAGACAAAGTGCATCATCTGTATTTAAGAAAAACAGAAGCTAAAATGCAACATAGGGAAGTTGTCCCAGATACGTTGGAATTGAAAGTGAAAAGTACATGAAGACATTATCATTTGTAGTCAGATTAAATCCAAATTTAAATTATCTTCTGTAGTTGCTCCTCTTTAGAAAAGAGCTCAAAAGTGAACAGTGTGTATTCTGTTATAATAGTAATCATGCTGTCAAGAAATTCTTTTTTCTAACAAGTACAATTAATAAAAATACATTACCAGAGAGGGTAGTGGCAGAGATTCCCACAATAGTACCCAGTGCTCAGTCTGGTGGAATTGGCAGTACATGCTGCAGTGTTTTTGCCAAATAGTGGTAATAATGGCATGTCCACTGGAGTAGATCTGTAATATGATTGGGTGTTGTTCCCAGTTATAGGGCCGTCAAGTTTACATAACCTCTGTGAACAACTTTATATAAGCTACTTAATATTATAATAAGTTATTTTCTTTTGAATCAGCTGCATATGTTTTCCGCAGTTTGTAGCAGAACTCTTGACAGAGCTATATGTTACATTTATTTTTGTCTGTTTTCAATGGCGAAGACATCAAGTACTATTTTGCAAGGTAGTGGTCGTAGTGGGTGTATTAGTCCGTTCTCACACTGCTATAAAGATACTACCTGAGACTGGGTGATTTATAAAGGAAAGAGGTTTAACTGACTTGCAGTTCCACGTGGCTGAGGAAGCTTCAGGAAATTTACAATCATGGTAGAAGGCGAAGGGGAAGCAAGCACCTTCTTCACAAGGCAGCAGGAGAATGAGAGTGTGAGCGGGGAGCTGCCAAACATTTTTAAACCATCAGATAATGTGAGAACTCACTCACTACCAGGAAAATAGCATGGGTGAAACCACCCCCGTGATCCAGTCACCTCCCACCAGGTCCCTCCTTTGATACATGGGGACTACAATTCGAGATGAGATTTGGATGAGGACACAGAGCCAAACCATGTCAGTGGGGATCATTGTGTTGTTATCAAACCTAAAGGGAATACAAGGCAGACACTACTAGTTACCTATTCAATTTCAAGTCTCTATTTTTATCTTTCTACCAGAACGCCACCCCCCCCTCCTTTTTTATAGCAGCAAAATGCAACCACCTTTGCAACTGCAGGTAGTTATATGACACAGTCCAAGCCAATGGAATTTAAGAGACTGTTCTTGCATGTACTTTCAGAAAGCCCAGCTGGCTTGGTTCCATGAATCTTTGCCCTTCTTTCCATTCACTTCTTCCTGCCTGGACATTGGTTACCTGGAGAAGCAGAAGCCATCTTGAGATGATGAAAGCACAAGTTAAATGTACGGGATGATGGTGCAGAAAGCCAGAAGGGGCCTCCAGAACATAGCTGTACTGCCCACCTCTAAACTTCCTGCTCTGAGATTAAAAAA